AGGTGACCTGGAGCCTGTCCTTGTGTGGCCTTGTCCGGCCTTGTCCAGAGAAGTGGCATGGGGCTCCTGGGCGCCTGGTTTTGTGCTGGCTGCCATAGGGATGTTGCCGGAAAATCCATTTTTGACACTTCTTACCTGTACTTTCTCTGACCTGCTGCAGGGGTGCCTCCCTGCCTACACCACTCAGCTGGGTGTGTGCACGGGTGTGTGTGGGAATGTGCACCCATGTGTGGGAGCGTGCACCTGTGTGTGTGGGGGTATGCACCTACCTGTGTGTGGGCATGAGGGGCCAGGGGAGTGGGGCAGGCACAGCCAGCTGCAGCAGTGGGCGCGTCCTCCCCGGTGGGGTTGCCTGGTGGGGGTGTGAGGCAAGCGTGGCCTGCTGGACGTGCCCTCCAGGGGCGAGGGCTGTGGCACGCATCTGCATCTCCGTGCCTCTGCCTGTCCCTGGGCGCCCGGCTCCATCTTTCTCTTCATGGGTTCCTTCCCTGTCTCCTGATCACCTGTGCATTCCACACAGAGGAGGACTCCACAGGTAGACGCAAGGGTGCCTGCCGGGGACCCTGCCGAAGATGTCCTATCTTAAGGTGAAACTGGGAGGTTTTGGAAATGTGTGGGCAGGTTGGCAGAACTCGTTGAGTTCAAATCAGGAACGGTGCCTGACATCAGTGGTGTGAGGGGACTGGCATGTGTGCATGTGTGTGTGCCAGCGTGTTTGTGTGTGTCTGAGGCCAAATGCTGAAAGCAGCTCCACAGGAAACACAGAGGCAGGCCTGGAGCCCAGCCAGGCCCTAAGGAAGACGGGCGGAGTCCCTTCCCTGGGGCTCAGGAAGGTTTCAAGGGAAGCGATGGGGAAGCCACCCTGACTGGGAGCCGGACGCGTGGAGGGGCCGAGGCGCAGCAGAGCATGGCAGCCGCGTGGGGCTGAGGTTCTAGAACAGCAGCAGCACCTGCCTGTGTGGACGTTTGGTCTGAGGTGTCTGCAGGCATTCCTTGTGCCATCTTGGCTTTTTCATTCTCAGCGGGCCTCTCTGCAGAAGGCACAGTAGGCTGGTGAAAGCTCGCTTTGTCTGGGGCTGCTGACCTGTTTGGGGGGGCAGACAGTTAAACTCAGAAGAGAAGAAGTCATACTCCACAGCTTCTGGCTGGCCGAAGCCTGTGGGAAGTGCAGGCTGTGCTGAGAGATGGACAGGGGCTCCGGGGGGCCTTCCCACCCCTCGGCCTGAGGCCCTGTGACGGAAGTGGGGTTAGCACCCAGGGAGAACTCAGGTTAGATCACTGTATTAGAAATGTAGTTCTCAGGCCCCACCCAACATCCAGAAGGCCACATCAGAAATGTAGGGGTGGGGGTGGTGCCAGGCACCCCAGCATGTGATGCCCTCCCCTGCATGTTGGGGTGACAGGAGTCTCCTGTGGCATGCACCCTGGGCAGCAAGGTGTGCTGAGCCCTGGGTGGCTGCTGGGTGCTCTGCCTGGCCGGGTCTTGGGGAAAGGGGTCACTGGGAGCCTTGACTTTCAGACTCTGGGCGGACCAGCCAGCACTGACACTCACCCCAACCAAGGAGCGTGAGGGGCCTGGTGCAGAGGCTGAGTGGGGTCCAAGGACCACACCCTGCTCGGAGGCGGTGCCTGCGGGCCTTTCTCTCTCCTGCACCCCACACACTGCCTGGTCACCATATTTTTCCAGGCCTGGGCTTGGGGACTTGCATTTCTGGGCCCCTGGTGCCTGCCCCACCGATTGGCATTGACCTGTGGTGGGAAGTGCCAGACAAGGGCCACCTGCTGCCGCCGCCCACCCACCTCAGGGTCTGCAGGCTTCTCTTGACTTTCATAGCAAGCGTGCTCTGGGTGAGTGGGGGTCTCTGAGCCTGGGAGCACCCCATTCCTGTGGGCCGTGGGGCCTGGCCAGGGTCCCGTCCCTGTGATAATGAAGTTGATGCTCGTGGCACAGGCACGGGGCACTTGGTTGTGCAGTCCTCGTCCCTCAGGGTGGACAAGGAGTGGGCAGCTCCCAGCCCACTCCCCAGCTCCCCCTGCCTGTGAAGCAGTGTGCACCTGCTGCTGGCAGGGCGAGGCCCCCTGTGTGGTGACTGTGTGACTGTCTGTGTTCTCCACAGGAGCTCAGCAGCACTAATGTCTCCCTGTGCCCCTTCCCCTGCCCACCAAATTCGTGTCCAGCAGGGATTGCCTCTCTTCCCAGTAGGGATCGGTTACGTGCTGGGTGACAAGGAGGCCGACTGGCACAGTGTCATGGGTACCACTGGCAAGAATGGGGAGGGTGGCATTTGACAGGCTCTTAAAGGACCAGAAGTTTGCCAGGCCTGGTGTAAGATGGCCAAGTTGGCAGAGCAGCAGCTGGTGCCCACAAGCAGGGTGCAGACCCCTGTGGTGGGCAGGGCAGGGCATCTGGAGCAGGGAGGAGGGTGAGTCTGGTGAGTGTGTGGGAGGCAGGAGGGAGGTGGTTCTCTCCAGCCCAGCCCCTCCCAAGTGCATGGTGCCTGCCAGGCGGGACCCAGACTCAGAGCCCACCTATTGGACTGGGAACAGTGTGAGGGACTTTGTTTTGGGGGTTGCGCATGCACCATCTGCCTTTCTGCTTCTTCCAAGTGGTCGCAGCAGCCCTGTGGGTGGACTGAGGTCCAGTGTCCAATCCCTGGTCCCTTCAGTGCCATCTCTGTCCTGCCTGTGGCCGGGGCCTGCTCCCTTAGTCCTCCCTCCACATCCAAGGACTTGGTCTTTCTGTGCCCCCAGGCTCCTGGGAGCAGGATGCAGGGCCTCGGCACTTCCCTGGGTGAGGGGCAGCTGGGCCACTGAGGCCGTGACTGGGCAGACCCCTGGGCCTGGATGGCACAGAGCCTGTTTCAGAGCCTGTGAGCCTGCGGGGCGGCGCAGCAGAGTTCTGTTTTCTCCGCTGGGCAAAGCCAAGAATGACTAAGGACGAGGAGGGCGCTGCAGGGGTGTCCTGTGCTCTAAGGCCTCCTCGGCAACTGCTGCTGGCTTGGACCGAGCAGTGGGCTGCCTCAGGGTGACTGCTTCCTGCCTGGGCCTGGGCCTTCGCTGAGAGCCTGCTCTTCTGGGAAGGAGGGCACTTGAGGTCAGGGAGACGTGGGTGCCGCCAGGCGTTTGGGGCTCTCCTGTGGAAGTCCCTCTGTTGGAGCACGCACAGCCCTTCCTGGAGCAGAGGCCGTGTCCTGCGCATCCCCTTGGTCCTACTACCTTTGGGTCAGTGCCTGTCCTCCTGCCCCATTGGAATGAGTGACCGGGTCCAAAGAAGGTGGGCTTGCAGGAGGCTTGTCTCACAGTGCAGCAAGCTCCGGGGCCCGGCCAGCCCTGGGTGCTGGGGACAGGGTGAAACTGGGGGAGCAGCTTGGGGAGGCCCAGCCTGGAGGGCCTGGTGCACACTTTTCTTCTGTGTGCTAGGAGAGCAGGTGCGGACGGGAGGAGGCAGGGAGGCTGAGGTGCCAGTGCTGGTCACTCCTGACCACAGCCAGAGCCTGGGAGAGGGAAGCCAGGTGTCCAGGCTCCGCCCCTGCCCAGCCCTCTCTGAGGACCAGAGATGGATGGTAGCCCCGGCCTGGAAGGCTGGCGAGAGGGCAGGAACTGTCAGTAGGGCAACTTCCCTGAGCAGGCCCTGGGGCACACCCTGAGAGTGAGCGAGCTGACAGCTGCTCCTGCTGGCAGCCCTGCACGACCGCCAGGTAACCACCACCAGGAGCTTGCCGGTTGACACAGCTCCTAAGACACAGAGCAGGGAGATGGCTTGTAGCCCGCTTGGCAGCCTGGGCCCCACTGCAACCCACCCCTCCAAATGGGAAGGCCAAGCCCCAGGCTGTCGCTGCCTGGGAGGGGTGTGGTCTGCCGTGAGCGCTCAAGGCAGGGAGGTGCAGGCCTGCTTCCTGGTCAGGGCCAGGCCCAGCGTCATGGGGAGAGCCTTCCCTGTGGTGGACACGCTGGCATGGCCTGGCAGAGGCTGGTGTGGAGTCTGGGTGCCTCGCTGTGCTAGGGCGAGGGGCTGTAGGCTACACGGAAGCTCGAGTCCCTGTCTGTCCCACCCCTGTACCATGGGGACCCCGAGTGCCTATGCTGCATGTGGCCCATCCACACCTACACCTCCTCTTCCTCAGACCCCACGCCCTGTGCTCTGGAGGGATGGCGGAGTGGGAGCACCGGGGCCCGTGGGCCCTGCCCCTGCCCCTGCCCCTGCCTGGCTCTGGCCGCTCCAGCACTGCCCCCAGAGGCCTGCGCTGGTCGCCTTTTAAGGCGAAGATCTGCTGTGAGAAGCTGAAGGGAAACATTTCCCTGGCAGTCAGGGAGCATTTTTCTCTCTTAAATAAACCATTAGCAGCTTTTCAAAACAAGAAAGGAAAAAAATAAGGACAAGGGCAGGTTGCCGCGAAGACCTTTGTCTCCCATCCCCATCACCCTGTGGCCTCCCCAGGCCTGGTGGACAACAGGACACTGGAGCTGCAGGCCAGGCTGCCGCCTGATGCCGGGGCCCTGTGCTCCCAGGCCAGCCAGGAAGGCAGGTGCCCTTCACAAGGCCTGCGGTATGTTTTCACCAGGGCCACCAGGGGCAGGGGCAGGGGCAGGCCGGCCAACTCAAAAGAAGCCAGGAGTGAGAGGGTTTGCTTCGCCTGTCCTTCCAAGAGCACTGGAAAACTGGAAGGTGGGCGATGGGGGCCCTAATCCTTGGCCCCTCCCTGGTTGGAGGAGGTGGTGAGGGGTGAAGATGCCCTCTGTGCAGGGGCCCGTGGTGGCAAGTGGGAGCGCCAGCCCTTCTTCCTAGGAGGCGCCATGCAGGGCAGCTCCACTGGCTCCTCTGCGGAGCAGCCTCACCGTTGATGTCCCGTTGGTGTCCTTTGAGCCTGGCAGGGAGGCAGGGTTGCCCCGATGGGCTCGGGCAGCTGCCTCTACACCTGCGCTGGCCAAAAGTGACCCTATGGGCAGGCCCTGGGTCTGATGGGCATGCAGTGACCACACCATGTCTCCTCTCTTGGCAGGAAGTCCAAAGCCAAGCCCAATGGCAAGAAGCCCGCTGCGGAGGAGAGGAAGGCCTACCTGGAGCCTGAGCACACCAAGGCCAGGATCACCGACTTCCAGTTCAAGGAGCTGGTGGTGCTGCCCCGCGAGATTGACCTTAACGAGTGGCTGGCCAGCAACAGTGCGCAGGGGCCTGGGGGCGGGGTCCCCTTCCTCCTCCCCGCTCCTCCTCGAAGCCCCTCCTCAAGGAGGACCCCCGCAGCTGTGCTCAGCAGCCCTCTGCCTTGAGGGGAGAGAGTGGCTGTGGACAGGCGGAGCTCACCCAGCCGAGCTCCTGCACCTGTTGCTGGAAGCAGGGTGGATGGGGTGGCTCGGCTCTGGGGTTTTTCCCATCTGGCTCCTTCTCTTCTCTTCCAGCCACGACATTTTTCCACCACATCAACCTGCAGTATAGCACCATCTCGGAGTTCTGTACAGGAGAGACGTGTCAGACGATGGCCGTGTGCAACACGTGAGTGCTGCTTGGCTACAGCCTGCTCCCTCTTGGGAGACTCGGTGGGCTCTGAGCCCGCACTGCCCCAGGCTTCTGTCCTCTCAGACTCCGTGCTCACCTGGAGACCCTGAGAAACCTTGGCACAGGCCTTCCACAGCATTCACCTTCCTGTGGGTGGGCCATAGACGGGGCCAGTGGCCCAGCCACCGGGGTCCCCAGTGGGGCCCAGAAGGTGCAGGAGCTGGTGGGAGTTGACGGGCTATGTTTCTAGGGACAGAGACGTTCCCAAAGGGAATGCCCTAAGATTGCAGAGAGCCCTTCTCCACCGGCTACCGTGACAGCTCTGGGTGGGACAGTGAGGGCTAGGCTGGGCAGGCCATAGCTCCTTGCTCGGCCACTCATTTCGTGGGAGCTCAGGTGCCTTCTCTGTGACCGTCCAACACGCCCGGTGCTGGTAGCTCTCTCCTGGAAGCACTGCGCCCTGATTTCCTCAGTAAGTGGGTATCCCTTAGTGGCCCTGAGCTCGCCACTTGCGTAGCACGGCGGGGAGCGCTGCCAGGCCTGGGTTGCTGGAGGCAGCCTTGGAGGTTGCAGGCAGGAGGAGGCTGAGTCTGCTGGGCTTGGCCTGGGATGTGTGTGGCTGAGGAGGGCGGAAGCTTTTCCCTGATGTCCCGTTGTTGTCAGTGCACACAGGTCAGGGACAGAACATGTGTTGTGAGCGCGTCCTGAAAGTCACCTTGCCCACAGACATGGCTTTCCTGGCCCTGGCACAGGGAGACATGGTCTCCAGACAAAGCTGAGTTCTGCCTTCAAGAAGCCACGGGGAGCTTCTGCACAGGCAGGTGGCAGGCGTCCCCTTGGCTTTAGCCCTGCTGGGCGCTGCCCTCATGGCCCAGATGGGTCACAGCTTGGTTTGGTTGTGGGTGACACAGGGGCAGATGCAGACAACAGCTGGCTCCACTCTCTGAATTCCCCAGGAAGATGAGGCGTCACAGCCAGGCATGGCCAGGAAGATGGGGACAGTGCTTACGGCCTTGAGAGGAGCAAGTTCAATGTGAGACGGCAGTGGCCTCTGTGGATCAGGCATGGAGACGGGTCCTGAGGTGGCAGGGCAGCGCCCGAGAGCTACACGAGAGCCTTGTGTCTGCTGTGGCTCTGGAGCCACCTGTGGCCAAGCGCTGGCTCAGCAGCTCTGCTCCTGGGCAGGTGGGGCCTGGCACCCTTCCCAGCGGCTCTGCTCCTGTGTATTCTGTGGTACTGGGTTTGTTTGGAAAGGGGGTCCTTGGAGGAGCATAGGATGTGGTGTTGGGCAGACCTGCGTCCCTTTGGAGGGCCTAGGCCACCTAGATGTGCCTCTCAGTCCTTCTCATCTGCAGCTGGCATCACGGTGGTGGTAGATGTGTGTGAACCAGATGTGCCTCTCGGTCCTTCTCATCTGGAGCCGGCATCACGGTGGTGGTAGATGTGTAGATGTGTGTGAATTAATTTCACGTAATGCCTTCCCAGGAATCCTTTCAAACCAAGGGACAGAAATCCACTCAAACGAAGAGAAACACGGAGGCTTCTCAGAGGGCCTCAGGGCCACTTGCCACCCAAAAGACCAGCAAGTCTGCCTGGGTTGTGTGAGGGCCCTGGGGTTGAGGCGTGTGTCCTCCCTGCTGGGGCCTGTAGGGCAGTCCCAGAAAATCTGATGTCTGACTCTTAGGCAGAGGAGAAAGGGGGCGGGGCCAGAAACACATTGCAGCCGTAATGGCTGAGAACACAAAGACACAAACCTGCAGACTTAAGAAGCTGAGCAAACCCCAAATAAGGCTCACAGACACTTGCAGATGCACGCAATCAAACGCCGAGAACTGGGGGCGAAGAAAAAACCCTTGGCAGCTGTCGTCTGTCAGCAGCCAGACAGTGTTGGTCCAGTACTGACAAGAGATGCCTCAGTGAATGACCGTGGCGCTTGTTAGAAACCTGGGAGACCAGAAGGAAGAAGGAAGCCCCACACATCTTAACAGTACTGGGAGAAAAGAAAGTTCACCCCAGAATTCCACATCCAGCCAGTGTCCAGAGTCACTCAAAACCAAGAGCCCTCACAGCCAGCAGACCTGCTCCAGGGGCTCCCTGAGCCGTCTCCTGACAGGAGGGCCTCCTCCCGCTGAGTGTTTGTGGAGACGCCAGTGATGGTGCAAGAAGACGAGAGCAGCGTCTGACAGCCCTTGCAGCGCCGTTCCCAGGGCAGCTGTGGCAGCGGCGGGGCGTGTGGTGGCGGTGGGACTGTGGGCAAGAGAGCTGCTATGCTCCAGTGGAAGCGCACGTGTGGGTGCCGTGGAGAGCACATGGGGTTAAGGTGCATGTTACAGCCCTTTGAGCAGGCCTTGCAGAGCTTGTGTGAAGAGACACAGTCGGAATCCGAATAGTTAAATTTAAGTGAAATATAAAAACATTTCAATGGCCCAAAAGAAAGCGGGAAAGAAGAAACACCATAAGGAATGAGAACCAGAGGCAGCGAACAGCAGGTAATGGAAAACCTAAATGCTAACAGAACAACAGACGGGACTGGTGTAAACACAGCAGTCACAGGGCAGCTTATAAGAATGGATTTAAATAAACCAGCTTCTCTGGTCTCTACCAGCAGCTCATTTGTCGTATTTCATTCGGGACGCTGCCACGGAACACAATAGGCTGGGTGGCTTGTGGGCACCAGAATTTTCTTTCTTGCAGTTCTGGAGGCTGAAAGTCCAAGGCGAAGATCCGCTGTGGACCAGCAAGGGGTCACTGACCACGTCCCTGGGTCTGATAGCCAGATTCAGTGTCTGCTGAGGGCCCCTTTCCTGGTCCACAGACAGCACCTTCTTGCTGGAAGGAAGGCGGGGTGAGGGAGCCACCAATTCCGTTCATGAGCGTTTGCGACCTCATCACCTCCCAAAGGCCCCATCTCCAGATACCCTCGCATCTGGGGTTAAGCTTTCAACGTAGGAATGTGGGGCACAAGCATCCTGTGTGTTGCGCCACTCTGGACGCTGTGGTGCAGGCAGGTTAGAAGTAAGAGGACAGAAAATGGGCTGAGAAAGCACGCTCCAAGGGAAGCGGAAGTGGCCGTGTCAGTGCAAAGGAGACTCCGAGCAAGGAAATGACCAGGAACAAAAAGGTTGTCTATTTAGAAAAGGAGCAGCTCCTGAAGAAATCCTGCCCAAAATGTGTGCACCAGACAACAGGGCTCTCCACCAAAGCAGACGGACGGACTGAACTGCGCGGAGACCTGATAGCCGGGCATTGCAGCCCTCCTCTCAGTGATAGAACCCCACAGACAGCGAGAGCATGGAGCCCAGTGACCCACCGGTCGGCTGTGTTGAAACGACACACACAGACACTGCAGCCTCAACAGCAGAACACCCCGCTTTTCAACTTCACAAAGGTTAGCCACCAAAATGGAGCATACCTGTCACAAAAGAGCCCTTAACAATTTTAAAAAATCAAAACCATACGAAGTAAGCTTTCTGACCATGGTGGAGTTAACTGGAAATGAGGAACAGAGAACAGGAGAGTCTCCAAACACTTGCAGATGGACACATTCTGAGTAATCCACGGGTCCGAGAGGATGCTTCAAGAAAAAAACTTTAACAGACTGCACAGGAAGATACAGCACGTCAGAATTGGTGAGACATAACTCAAGCAGTGCTTAGAGGGGATTTATAGGATTAAATGCTTTCTTAGAAAAAGAAGATGACTCAATAATCTGAAGTTTCCAACTTAAACTAGAAAAAGAGCAAAATAAATCAAAATCAAGCAGAAGAAAGTAAATAAGAACAGAAAGCAGTGAAATTGATTTTTAAAGCAGTAGGGGAAATGAGTGAAATCAAAATGTGATGACTTGGAAAGATAATAAAATTGGTAAACCTGTAGTAAGTACAAAGATAAGAGAGAAGAGACAATGATCAGTAAAAAGGAGTGAATGTCACTAAACCCTGTGGGTGTGAAGAGGAGTATCACTGTAGACCCAGTGCATGTTAAAAGGATAAGAAGTAAGTATTGCAAAATAACCTCTGTGCACATTAATTCTATGGCTTGGGTTAAAGGGGCCAACTCTTTGGAAAGCACAGTACACCAAAACTCGCCTAAGGCAGTGCCGTAAGGTAAGAAGAAAGAATAAAAGGCATCCAAATTGGAAAAGAAATAAAACAGTAGGCCCCCTTCTCTACAGTTTCAGTTACCCATGGTCAACTGTGGTCTGAAAATAGTGAATGGAAAATTCCCGAAATAGACGACAAGGTTTAAACTGCACGCTGTTCTGAGCATCGTGATGCGGTCTCCACCGTCCTGCTCCAGGTGTGCGTCCTCCTCCCTCGGCCCAGCTGTGCCTCGGCCCCCGTGAGCGATCCACTGTTGCAGTGCCAGGGTGCTCGTGCTCAGGTCGCCTCTCTGTGACCTGAGGCGGCCCAAAGCACAGGAGCTGGTGCTGGCAATTCAGATACGCCAACGAGAAGACAGACAGTGCTTCCTTGACCTAAAGATGAAAAGGTGAAAGTTCTTGAGTAGAAAGAAAAAGATTGTGTGTGAAGTTGCTAAGATCTAAGGTAAGAACAAATCTCTTCTTCATGAAATTGTGAAGGAGGGAAAAAAAGTCAGGTTAATTTTGCTGTGACACCTGAAACTGCGAAAGTGGCAGCCACAGTGCTTGTCGAGTACTTGGATCTGTGGGTGGAGGAGGTGAGAGGATGGGAGCAGCAGCGTGTGGCCATTGAGCCAGCAGGAGGCCAGCAAGGGACCCCCTGAGATGCGACACCAGCCACTCACTGCGGCTGATTGTCCTGTTTATCAGTTACCTTGGGCGTGGTGGCTCACACCTGTGATCCTGGCTACTCAGGAGGCTGAGGCAGCGGGTCACTTCAGGAGTTCAAGACCAACTTAGCAACATAGCGAGACCCTATCTCAGTCAGCCAATCAAATTCGCCTGTCTTTATCTTAGTAATGTATGTACGGGAGAAAGCGCAGCATGTACGGGTTTGCGGCTCTCGGAGGCTTCA